TGCTAGTCCAGAGGCCATGAGCTCTATTAAAGGTTGGATAAGGAGCTACTTTTCCATTTGGATCAGCTGTCATATCTAGATCAACCTGTGTCATGCAACTTCTCATGAAATCAGGCCACTTGCACCGAACCCGGAAGGTATACTCATCAACCCATTGAAGAACAAAGTCTGATTCTTTGGCACCAGTGTGGATCAGCAGTCTAATCAAAACATAGTCAACCATATCATCTGTTGTATGATCGAAGGTTGTCCATCTTCCGGAAAGAGCTGGATACATGAGAGATCCACTAACCCACTGCGTGCCTTTGTCAGGAGTAGTCTCCTTCTTCTTCTTGCTGATAATCATGCTCCTTCCAGCAAGCTCTGAAAGCATTTCATCTGTGGTTGGTGGTGTTGTTTGCCGCTTACGAGGCATGTTGTCGTATTCGTCCTCCTCTTYGGATTCTTCTTYGGATTCTTCTTCTTCGGATTCTTGTTCCTCTTCCTCCTTCTTCTTGGCTCTGGAGATTGCTGCAAGCTTCTCTTCTATTTCTTTGTATGGATCAATAAGATGGATACCTCGGTTCTGTAGATCTTGGGCAAGTGTTGCCATACTCKAACAAAGGAATAAACGCGTAAGCAAATGCGAGGAATAAACRCGGATGCRAAGTACTGTTCCTGCYGCAAAACGTACCTTCCCAATCTTGGGCCAACTTGATTTTTTGATGTGGTTTTGGATGTAAGCTGAGCTTCTGTAGTTGTAAATAGAAGAAGGCTTGTTGTTAGGATCCCAGCCTTTTTTCCCTTCTGTTCTCAAATGGATCCAATAGTTGTAGCAAGCAATCTGCTTTGACAGCTCTAGTTTCCTGTATATCGGTTCTGGATTCCRACTTTGTTCTTCCTGACGCTTSCCTTTCTTAGAGGAGCATGAGCCAGCTCTTGCCATCGTGTATTATGAGGGCGTCAAAGCCGCCCCRCCAGAAGGATCTCCTTATACCATGCTGCTTATTGTTGTTCACACTGTTGCTTGTTGCTGTTGTGCTACTGTTGCCGGGACGCTGCTGCTGCTGCAATCCTGTAAAGCAGTCCTTTCGAAGAGTTTTAGTTAGTTTMAACAGTCCGGGAGCAAAAATTCCTTCACATTTATGCTCAACTTTTATGTGAATTAAGTGTTTACCACGATCGTTACCAGAACAGTTACCAGAATCTGGTAGAATTTATGGTAGCATTTATGGTAGCAATCCTGGAAAATTACCAGTTACCATAATTCCTACCAGATTGCTACCAGATTGCTACCAGATTGCTACCAGAAATGCTACCAGATTGCTACCATAAATGCTACCAGATTGCTACCAGAAACGCTACCATGATATATGCCGCGCTACCAGAAATTTTTTTTAAATTCTCTSAGCCCCCCCCCTAAATATTGAGTTTAGTATCGAGTTCACAGGACTCATTTAAATGCTTAATTCCRTTTGTTAAGCAGCGGTTGCTGGTTCCGTTCCCGTAACGGGTCTAGTAGAAAATGTACGTGGTAAAATCTTCAATGATGATCGTCCCTGGTTCTGGTTCCATAGCCTGGACGAGAACGAAGTAGACACATGCAAGAAATACAGAAATACCATATTGATCCCGCGGGATTCGTTCGAAATAGAGAAGATGGTTGTTATCTCTCAGATCACTCATTCCAATCGATAYGCAACATAAAATGGACGTCAAAGAATTGTACGGTATGGTGCGTAGCAGTTCCCATGAATACGACGTAGTACAAAAAAATAAGTATTACAGTATTTTAGAATACTCCTGTATTGATCACCAAACATCCTCATTCTGTCCATCTTGCATATTTGGAAGCCCGAAACCGAAAATGGTCCGGCATAAGAACAGGTGGCTTCTGGTAAAGATCGAGCTTGCCGACGACATACGAAACAACAAGAAGGAACCACCGATAGGATTACCGTCGGCCTTGTTTCCCTCAAAGAAAGAATTTACGACACGGCTGCGCCGTACCATTGCATGGTGCTTCGGAATTGCAGGGGAAGGACCCGCATGCAACACGCAGATACGATTCTGTGACGCGGAAACCCAGCTKGCATTGATTCGCGTGTCCCGCGAAKATTGTGACATGGTTCGGTCTTCCCTGACGCTCTTGCTAACCAGGAAACAACTGCTTTCTCTCGGAGAAAAGRCAGAAGGGCAACCCTGGACGTCTTCCGATTACTACRCCTCTGTGGTTTCCGYCCAYGGGTCGGCTAGGACTGCTAAAATCGCAACCTTTCGAAAACTTCGAGAGTTGTACCGACTAAAGCTGCAAAAGAATCGCTCCATGTTTTCGACGGACGAGGGCTTCGAAACCAAAATATGTCGCGGTCTCCAGGAGCGATTGACCTTGATTCAGAACAATGTGAGCTGAAGAATTGAGACGATTGCATTCAWATAAAAACATTGATGAMGGTTTTAAAATCAAAAGTCCGGTGTGRCTCAAGAACGATCATCTGCGGTTGACTTGCGCCAAGTGCAATATTCGGTACTGCATGCTGCTGAAACCCACACGAACTCCCTCATTGATCGAGGAGACAAGACGTTTATCTCGCAAGGTATCATACAGCAGCAATCTATGCTTTTTCTAACATACCAAATGGTTTGATTCTAAGAAGCACTAGAACTAATTTCGGAGTTCAAAAAATAATCAGAAAGTCAAACCAAACCAAATCAAACACACAAACAAGCAAATCAAATTATCATGCCAAAAAATCGAATCAGCGGCATATTGATTGAAGGAGGTGACTGATACTTGCAACTACCGGTAGTAGGTGTTGAATTGTGGTACTTTGATGGCTGTACTAGTGACAGAAAAATATGATTCAGGATACTTACTATTCTCATTCACTCTCCTTAAAAACAACTGCACTAGTCTACTAGTAGTATTACTATCAGTGCTAGTGGTACTACTATAAACTAGTACTAGTAGTTGTAGCAGTAGTAGCAGTATTACTTCATATGATATCAGCTGGGCCCAAAGAAGCACCTTTAGTACTAGAAGAATGCTTGCCTGCAGGCACATGCTCACTTCACTTCACTCTAGTACTACTAGTAGTACTACTACTGTATTACTACTACTAGTAGTACTACTAGTAGTAATCACATAGTAACAAGAAAACACTGCTAGTACTACCAGTACAAGGTTGTGGTGTTTTACATCCCGTGACAGGCATTTTGCAGTACTCTTTCTCTCATTTTCAAAAATCACTATTTCAGTCAAAATTTTCTATTTCGGAGTGTTTCCAAGCTCACTTTTTGAGAATTCAGACCAGCAAAATGGAATCGGTATCCAGACACTGTTATAATCATAGAATAAAAATTGAAATCATTTCCAAGGAYAGATTTCTCTACTGGAGTACTCTCTAAGGCGCTATCAATGCTACCATCTAGCAGCATAATTATTTCATGAGCAACTTTCTGGTCATCAAGGCATTGTCTGCTGGTAAAAGGCMCAATCCCAATCTTGGCCCATACTGCCTTTGTCTTCTCAACTGCAAAGGCTTTGTGAAATGCATGCTCAAGTTGTACAGGTTCATACCATTTTTTTGCTTTCCAAAGACAAGCAGTAGAAAATCAGTCTGCCGGACCTTTTCCCCATCTTTTTGATGGTGCAACACAAGCTTTTCCAAATTTCCATCTGTACATTGGTTTGAACGGTTCATAGTTTCTGTCAGTTGRTTGTGTCACATGCATTGTGTTGGGCACACTAGGAAGAAGATAAGACCTTTTGCACAGAACTTCACCAGCAACACTTCTTATTTTCTTCCTGGACAGCTGTCCAAAATTAAAAGAACTCGCTGCCCTGGAAAAACAGCTGCATCCGGAAATAACAGCTTTATTACATTGATTCAATWTATTTCAAGAATTGTTCAGTATTCATTGGTCTTGCAGTACCATTGGTCCACATTCAAGGCATATGATTAGCATTTGGAGTAGTTGTGTGTGTCTAGGTTGGTTRTTCATTTCTGAACAGCCAAGATTAACCATTAAAGTCATTGCATAAATAAATGCGTTCTCAATGTTTTCAGGAAGAGCTGCCTTCTTCCCCTTTTTAGGAGGGATATCTTCCAAGCCCAACTGCAGCTGTCTCTGCACAGTATCTGCCTTTTGATTTTTCTGATAAATTATGTTTGCCTCTCTTACAATTTTTGCAATAGAGGATGTAGGCAATAACTTAGGAAAATTTGCTCATTGGTGCTTCACCTTTGAAATTACCGCCATGTAGGCCTTCTTTTCAATCTCAGCCTCTTTGAAATCCTTCTTTAGTCTTGCATGATATTGTGAAGCTGTATCCCTCCTGCCCCATCCTCTTTCTTGTTGCTCTTCTTCTGCTTCTTCTCCATGTGTACTTCCTTACAAAGGATGTTGCATCGCTTGTTGTTGTTGTTGTTGTTGTTGTTGTTGTTGTTGTTGTTGTTGTTGTTGTTGTTGTTGTTGTTGTTCATCTTGGTACTACCAAAATAAAGCCAAAAACTGTTTTTCTAATAATCACCCAGTTGATTGATCAAAAACTTCAGGATCCCCTCTAATTTGATGTATTAAGGATGTTTGACACACTGGTCATCTATGTTATGGAGGGGAAGATGGTGTTTTGCATGTTACACTGCAGCTCCTTTTCTTGCTATTTTTTGACATTTTTTTAATGTTGCTTCGTCTACTACTGTTCCTTCAAAACCACTTGGTCCATTGATCCAAGACTTCCAGCAGATTCCCCTGTCCTTGTTATAATGAAGAGATCCTGTGTTTTGATTGCATTGTTAGTGGAGGTTAGTGSAGGTTAAGGTGTTGAACTGGAGGAGTGACAGGTCCCTATGCTGGAGGTTGTGTTAATGAGTTTTTTGCTTTTTTTGTGCACAGAGATATCAGCAAGTTGGAAATGGTTCTCTTCAAAATTGACATAGCAATGTGCACATGCTTGTGARGAGAAAAGAAAACCCATTCCAACTCATGGATTCTCAAATTCTGATTGGTGCTTTGGTAAGCAAGCAAAGCTTGCTGCTGTTCACTAAAAATGGCTCGCAAAATTGTGACTCATAACCTGTTATAAATCAGATGTAATTCATCACACCAAAACCTTGTACTACTAGTAGTTCTTGTCTAGTACTAGTAGTACTAGAGGGCCTAGAGGAGGACCTATATGACAGCAACTACTTGTTCTTGTTCTTGGTTTGCTCAAAAGCAGCTACTAGTAGTGGTAGCTTCCATCTTGCTTGCTTACTTGTACGTACTAATAAGTGGGAACAACTAGTACTACTAATAGTCCTGCTCTCAAGTAAGTATTTAGTGTTAGTAGCTACTACAACTAATACTGGATGGTACTTCCTCCAGTCCACTATCGTATAGAGTTGGCCAGCTGATGTAGGACTCAGTCGTAGATTACATGCTATCTAATTACCGTGTAACGACTCGTGGGATTAAAAATTGGCTTGTACTGGAGTTTACAGCCGGCACGTGCGAGCGAAACTATTTTGCTCGTGCGAGCAAAATAGTTTTTTGCTTTCACGTGCATGCTGTAGGCCTAGTACAAGTCAAATTTTTAATCCCACGAGTCATTACACGGTAATTAGATGGCAGCTAATCCCCGCACAGTACAAAAAACACGTAGGGCATTAAGAGAGGTTCAACTCACTCGAACAGCCATACTTTTTCCCCAACGGACGCTTAAGTATGATAAGCACATGGTTAAAAAGAGAATTCAAAGAGCTTTCTAATGCCGTGGGGGAGTACGGCGTACGACGAATATTGACTGATATTCGTTTACGAATATATTGAATTGCTAATGTACGACTGGGTCGGCCGGAAATGCGTGGCCCACGCTATACGATATGTTTCATTTTCGTTATACGTTGTTGTTGGTCCTGTATGCATCTCAGCTTTACTAGTACTTAAGGGTTTGAGCAGTTGGATTCCATGAATGACTGTGTAGAATATGTGGAATCAGTACTGGAGACAAAATGAGCATGCACATAAATAAATATTATTTTACTTTTACACATGAAAATACACTCTATTAACTCAACAACAAGCTTAAGTTCCAATTTTAAAATGGTAGAAAAAGGAGGCACCTATTTTGAACAAGAAGAAGAAGAACGGCCCATACTACAAGAAAAATCCTCTGTATAGTGATGACAATTACAGCCTTAAAAATCCATTACTTTTAGCTATCATGTGTAAGTAGCAGCATATCATAATGACGGTTCTTGAACAAATTCAACTGAAGGTAGTAGTAGCTCCTAGTACTACTACTACTACTATAGAATACTAATATAGTAGTAGTAGCAGCAGCAGCAGCAATACTACTACTACTACTACTACTACTACTACTACTACTACTACTACTACTACTACTACTACTACTACTACTACTACTACTACTACTAC